TCTATCTATGTTTTGTCGTTCAAACACTTGATTTGGGGATATCATTTCGTGGCTATCTCCTGGAGATGGTACGAAAAATAAGAGAAGAAAGAAGAAAATGGGAAAGCAACAAGGAGGTGAGTTTGGGCAAACTAAGAAAGGGTTTGGAAGAAATTGAAGCTCAAGTATGGGTGATTTACTTTGCATTACTCCTCTCTTGTTAAGGGTAAAGAATTTCTTGATGTTCAAACAATTAAGGTTTGTATGTGTTGTATGGCACCCAAGAGAATGAAGAAGTGTTTCTTCATGTTGTTGATGTGTTGCTTTGAACTTGTAAGGGAATTATATTTTATTCTCCTTGATATACTTGAACAACTAAGATATGGAACATGGCTATGTATGTAAATAGTCTTTGTTTATGGGTTATTGAAGTAAGACTAGTTCATGTCCACATGACTGTGATTATGTTCGTAAGTTGATTTTTAAGCTTTATTCTTGTGTGAAATTCAATCTAAGTGGAACAATTTCTATGTTATTGGCCAAGGTAGATTTTATTTGAGCTTGAATTCCAGGATGGAAATTGAAAAAGTTGTGACTTGATTAAGCTTCTTATCTTGTATTTTGTGTAGCTCAAGTTCCACATTCATCGCTATGGCCGCATTAGGCTTAATATATTGCATGAATTCATCTTGCGTTTGCATGTAAATTGGAACTTGGTGATGTTGAATTTGGTTTGGAACCGAGCTGCCCAAAACAAGGTCACCAGACTGCGGAGGTCATGGCCGCACGTGGGCCAAAGACAGAAAAACTAAGGAAGAGCACCTGTCTACGATCCGCTCGACGGCGAAGGGGGACGGACGAACGTGCGGTGCATGGCCGGCTCAAGCGAGGGTCCGGCCACACAGTGCGCCCGGGCTGGAAAAGTGGCTTCGCTTAGTTTTGGCATTCTGACTCTCTGGTATTTTTAGATATTTTTCTGATGATTTTAAGATGGTTGTAAATTCATGCAATAGTGTAATGATGCAGGAAATGATCTAAGAAAGAAAGGGATAAAATGTGCAAGTTTTGAATGTGTGCAGGACCACTTCCGGGAAGGAAGTTAATATGTCATCTCAACATACTGTGAGTATATAGTACGGAAATGTACATTTTATCTACCATTGATAATTATGTCACTACTTCTGTTCCTCGTAAGTGTTTTACACGATAGTTATGACGATTGGAAATCAGATGTGAATGGTTGAAAGATTGGCACATATCGGTGTGACTTTGCAATCATTCTATTTCTGTCAATAACGAATATGTCGCCTATGAAACCTAGATCGTTCTCATCCTAGGACATGTATGCAAAGGTTTAAATGTTACGATGATGACACCGTTAGAATGTAAATTGGTCTATCTTATAAATGTAATGACATGACATATATGCTCTGTTAATGTACATCGCCTTTGATCCTCATTTACAAGTTAATGCATTGCTATTTTACTGAGACAAACCATGTTTACTAGTTAATGACGAACATCTCTGTTATCTATGCAACTATGATGAATTCGACGACAAACAATGAGATGTGAGTGCATTAAGAAGTCCAATCTGTTAATTACTGCTATTAAGGCACTCTGTTGAACGTAACGTAACTATGTAACTCATGTGAATAATGAGAAGGAACTATGTCTTCTGTATAACTATTGGCCAGAGGGCCATTATGGGTATTTCTGATATATAGAGCAAAGTAGCTTACGGAGCTAATGCCTTACACTTTGGTGGGAGCCACTCTAGAATCCGACGAGCCACCTCTTGAGGTCCATACATTTTTATTTCTGGGCCGCGAGGCCGTTCTGTTATTTCTTGGCCCTTAGGCCGTTCTGTTATTCTGGGCCGGTGAGGGTCGTTCTGTTATTTTCTGGGGCCTAGGCCGTTCTGTTATTTCTGGGCCGATAGGCTGTTCTGTTATTTCTGGGCCGATGGACCGTTCTGTGAAAGTTATGAGGCCTATGGCCTTCTGTTCTTATCTGTTTGTATGAACAAAGTGCTGTACGGAGCTAAGTGCTACACATTGGTGGAGCCACCCTCTAGAATCGTACGAGCACCTCTTGAGTTATACGTTACATGAAAAGGGCTTATCTGCCATTCTGGGCCTTAATCCGTTCTTTTAAGGGCCAATTTGTGAAACTTATAATATTTGTGCAGTTGTTGAATCTATGAGGCGGGGCCAATTTTGTTAATTAAGAATCTATTAGGCCGAGGGCCAATGTGTTGAATGTGTTAAACCATTGGGCCGAGGGCCAATCTGTGAATTTGTGAACTGACAAGACCATTTCTAAACTTAAGACAGAATCAAATTAATCATTGCTCTTCTTTATTTATATAAGCTTGATAACGTTTCATAATTCAGTTAAGCCATTGAATTGTTATAAGTACTATTATTCACTGAGATTGTTCACCCTGTATTTGTTTGGTTTCCTGTACGGTAGCAAGTCTGACGGTAGCCTTAACCCTAACGATCTGCTCGCCTACTTTCACAATTTTGTGTGTTCAGCATTTGGGTGAAGCCTTGATCATTTTCTTGGAATTTTGCTAAGTTTTAAGCTTGCACCTCTGATTGTCTATGTATATGTTAAGTTTCAATGTTTTTGTTATACGCCACAGAGCGCGGGTTTGTATATGTATGTAAATATTTATCATTTGAGGCACTGTTGGTGACTTGGCATGATAGTCGGTCGCTCATAATGGATATATTCTTTTTATTTCATGTTATTTTATTATTACTTAATGCTTCCGTTTCAGGCCCCGTATGTAATTATACCAGGTTAAGTGTCCGTTTTTTTAGTGGGTCATATGCCCAAATCACTTTTTAGGGGTGAGCTTTGGGGCGTGAACAGCTCATTATTGCCCTGAGTTAAGCTTAGTCCATCAAATCTACATATTTTTATGAGAGGATGAAATGAAGAATGAAAAAGCAGCAATCTTACAATATAAGTGTTTTTCTTCGATGGATGAATATCAATGGAGTGTACAATCCCAGAAGTAAGTTCATGAAGCCTGAACTTATCATATAGAAGGAATCAGCACATCTTATCACAACAAAAACAAACCATGAAAAAAAAAAAAAACCGCTTTCTCCTCAGATGGACAAAGTTGAAACCCAACTGTCAAAAATGGCAGTTAAGATAAGTGCAAACAGAACAAAAATAAACGGCCTGAATTTAGAAGCATAATAGAAACGTCATCTAAGAAAATGACAATTACCACTTAAGAACACTTAAGCTTCAAGAAATTCAACAGTTGTGGTATTTCAATATTGAACAAATTATGCACTCCTGATGATCACTTGCATGTGAAGCGTGATGCACCATCCATTCTTTTCTCTTTTGTTTTCTCCGAAATCATAACTTATTTAATAAAGCAAATTTTATCAGAACATATAGGAAATAGTCCCCTAACACATTAGGCACAAAAACCAAACTGATTTCAGTTCAAGATGAATAATATCATGGCCTCCAAAAAAAAAAAAAAAAAAGTCTGAAAATGAAAACAGAAAAAATAAATAAGAACCGAAGTTGAGAACAAAACATTTTCTCATTTAACGAGCCATGTCAAAGGGTCTGAAGATCAAATCTCTCTCTCATCGTCTGAAAATGCTCCGATTGATGACGATGAACCTAGCCAAATTGAGCTCTCTGCTCCGATTGGATTCATAACGCTCAATTTCAAAGAACGAAGTCCAAATCTTGTCAGATCGGAGCTACGAACTGTAAGAGATCATCTCTCTGCTCCTTTTTATTTTTTATTTTTTTTGTTGGGTCTCTGTCCCGTATCAGATCTGTTTTTGTTGCCGATCTGATTCTTACCCGTATCAGATCTGATTCTTGGTTTAAAGTTGTATGTATCAGATCTGATCCTATTGCTCTGTCAATGAGAGTTGGGTTTTGTTAATGAGAGTTGGGTTTTGTTACAATATTGAACAAGATCAAAGGAGACCGTGAATTTATTGTTTCTTTTTATTGATTTTTGCTAAATAGATTCATGATTAATTCTTCATTGATCAAAGTGAAGAATTTTGGTTCAATTTTTTGAAGGATTTTAAAGTATTTTATTAGTTAAAATCAATTTTTTTTGCTGAATAATTTTTCGAAGTGAGCAATTTGAAGAGAGATATATATATATATATATATTGTGGACTTGCGCTTGTAAGACATCCCACTATCATCTCTTCACTTTTGTTGATTTGCAGAATAATTATTTACACTTGAAATGGGGCCTGAACGGAAGCATTAAGTATAATAAGATAACATGAAATAAAAAGAACTATATCCATTGAGCGACCACTATCATGCCAGGATCACCAACAGTGCCTCAAATGATAAATATTTACATACACATATACAAACCCCGCCTCTTGTTGGGCGTATAACAAAAACATTGAAAACTTAACATATAATAGACAATCAGAGTGCAAGCTAAAACTTAGCAAAATTCCAAAGAAATGATCAGGCTTCACCCAAATGCCTGAACACACAAAGATTGGTGAAAGGTAGGCGAGCATCGAGGGTTAAGGCTGA